CCTCAGCCTCCCCAGTAGATGGGACTACAGACACATACCATCATGCCAGGCTACTTTTTGTTTTGTTTTTTTGTAGAGGTGGGGTCTCACTGTGTTGCCCAGGCTGGTCTTTAACTGCTGGACTCAAATGATCCTCTTGCCTCAGCCTCCCAAAGTGCTAGAATTACAGGCATGAGCCACCACACCCAGCCGATTACCATATACTTCAACTGTCATTTTCCAATCTACCATTTAAATAGATGATGTAATTTTTTTTTTTTTTGAGACAGAGTCTTGCTTTGCCGCCCAGGCTGGAGTACAATGGCACAATCTTGGCTCATTGCAACCTCTGCCGCCCGGGTTCAAGCGATTCTCCTGCCTCAGCTTTCTGAGTAGCTGGGATTACAGGTGTGTGCCACCACGCCCGGCTAATTTTTGTATTTTTAGTAGAGACGGGGTTTCAGCATCTTGGTCAGGCTGGTCTTGAATTCCTGACCTCGTGATGCACCTGCCTTGATCTCCCAAAGTGCTGGGATTACAGATGTGAGCCACTGCGCCCGGCCCAATGATGTAATATTTTAACCACCATTTCTGCCCTGCTGATAGAGGCAATAGGACACTAAGGCTAAAGTGTTAAGGTGGTCAGTAGCAAAAATGTCACATAGAACACAGAATAGGAAGAGTCCAGTTACTGCAGTAACAATATAGACAATCATTTAACTTCCTCTGAAAATGTATAACACTTAGCATTCCATAAACAAAAGGGTATAAAGAAAACTGCCTTATATATGGTAGGGACTCGACTCACTTGATGTATTAAATAAAAAAGAGAAAAAAAAAAGAGAAATTACAGCAAATCTCTTGGTAACAGTAGTAGTATTACAGATTTCTGAATATGACAAGAAGTAAATTATAGTTTGGGCATTTTGAAGAAGAATCTTATCTTTCAGAGACTACTGAGCATGTCCAGCCTTCTCAACAGCCATGTAATTCAAAACAACCTATAAAATTAGTCCTTTAAAAATAATTTAAAGCAAAAAACACATGCGGAAGGTGTTAGGCTGGGTGTGGTGGCTTGTGCCTGTAATCCCAGCACTTTGTGAGGCCAAGGCAGGAGGATCACTTGAGCCCAGGAGTTCCAGGCTGCAGTCCTTTTAAGTTTCTTGAGTTAGAGCCTTTGAAGAATCTAACTGCACTGGAATATAAAATAATTTTATTTCAGAATAACCTCAAATGGACTATAATTTAATCCATGGTTTATAGCGGGGAGACTGCTCTAAGAAACAAAAATGCTGACAGGAAACAAAGTTAATCATTATGTAATATATAGTCTGCAACTGTCCCAAACATTCTGTTACCTTTATCATAGTGGCAGATCTCTAAAATTTTAGAAAATTTTGGGGGACTTTTGGTTAATACAATGATGGGGGCACTACTGATCGTCCTCCAATCCATGGGACAGTTCTCTATAACAAAGAATTGTTACAAGGCCGGGCGCGGTGGCTCAAGCCTGTAATCCCAGCACTTTGGGAGGCCGAG